GGGCAGATGGTGGTGTCACCTCCCGAGAGACAGGGGAGGAGCCGGATTCAGTCTCCAGCCTTGTGACTTTGGACGCGTTGAGAGGGAAGAGCTTCAGAGATGTCTGATGATCAGTGGCTGGTTGCTCCGCAGCCAGAACCCAGGGAAGACTCGGGTTTGGATGGGAAGGTCTAATCCAAGGTGAAGGCAGTGGGTTACATGACTCGAGAACTGTCTTGGGCTTCCATGTGTCTTGAAAATCAACTCAAGTTTGTGGAAAACCTTGTGGGATTTTAGTCATACTTTCATTGAATTTACGATTTATCCGGAGAGATTCAACCTCTTGGCGATACTGTTTTTCATGAACATGTGAACACACAGGTTCTTCTCCATTTATTTAGAAATGATGTCTTTTTTAAAAAATTAATTTATTTTAATTGGAAGCTAATTACTTTACAGTATTGTAGTGGTTTTTGCCATACATTGACATGAATCAGCCATGGGTGTACATGTGTTCCCCATCCTGAACCCCCTCCCACCTCCCTCCCCATCCCATCCCTCTGGGTCATCCCAGTGCACCAGCCCTGAGCACCCTGTCTCGTGCAGAAGTGATATCTTTAAAGCAGTTACCATTTTCTCTGTAAAGATCTCATCCTTTGTTGGATTTATCACTACTCGATAAATTATGACTTTGTATCTAAACAGGATATTTTAAAAAATTGTGTTGTCAGATTTCTTATTTCTGGCATAAAAATGGAATTGATTTTGTTATGTTGGTCTTGTGGAACTCGGAAATTTTTTTTATGATTTGTTTCTTTTCAATCTTCTCTCATAATTCCTAAGCACAGTGACAATTTTACTTCTTTCCAATCTGCGGAGCTCTTTTGTTCTACTGTGTTGGTTAGGACTTCTGTTACAGTGTTGAGTGTTCAGTGTTGAAAGTGAGCGTTCTTTATCTTATTTCTGACTTCAAATGTAATACTTTTAGTGTTTAATCATTAAAAGTTCTGGTCATCAAGTCCAATCTGTGACTAGGTGTTTTTCCCCTCACCAGCCAGCGATGTTTGACACCAGCTGAGTACCCTACCATTCAACTCAGTTCTAACATTATCTATCTGGAAATAGCATGGGATCCTACAGGCTAAAGCCTCAGTCCCACAAGACGGCCCTCACCCTGCAAGTTCAGGTTATCATCAACTATAGACAGACTGGGGAGCGTCCCTGCTGGCTCAGTGGTAAAGAATCCACCTGCAGTGCAGGAGATGCAGGAAACACGGGTTCCATCCCTGGGTTGGGAAGATCCCCCAGAGAAGGGCATGGCAACCCACTCCAATATTCTTGCCTGGAGAATTCCACGGACAGAGGAGCCTAGTGGGCTACAGCCATGGGGTCACAAAGAGTCAGACACGATTGAAGCAATTGAGCATGCATGCATAGGTAGATTGGAGGTTCCAGGGACCACCCCCCCCCCCACCTCCTTGGGTTCAATTCACTTGCTTGTGTGGTTCTCAGAACTCAGAGAAACATTTCACTTACCAGCCTACCAGTTTGCTATAAAAGGATGTAACTCAGGAACAGCAGATGCAAGGGATGCACATGACGTGGCTTGGGGAAGGAAGCAAGCTTCCACGCCCTTTCTGTGGGCAGCCCCTCTCCCCACCTTTTCATACAGTCACCATACTCAGAAGCTCTGAGATCATTTCTTCTTATATTCGTCATTTTGGATTTTGAGATTCTTTAGCAAGGCTTTGGGTCTCAGCAGTCTGAGTTAAGATTGTCTACTCAGAGATTATTAGTGACCCAGGGTCACTGTTTATTTTTGTGAATTGACTAGGGCTTCCTGTAATATAAAGTTCAGATCTCAAACCCACTTAAGGGCAGAACTTTGGCTGCACATTTTGAGGAGAGAGGATTCTTTTTTATATCTAGGGCTTAGGCCAAGACAGACCATCTTCCACGTCGTATTTTATGAATAGTCTGCCTTTTCTCTGAGGATTGAGTTAAACCACCCTGCGTGTCTCGGGTGTAAGGTCTCATAGGTGTGGCCACTAAAACCCAGTGGCTTCTTTACTGGGCTTCCCTGATGGCTCAAGAGTAAAGAATCTGCCTGCCAACGCAGGAGACGTGGGAGATGTGAGTTTGATCCCTGGGTCGGGAGGATCCCCTGGAGGAGGAAATGGCAACCCATCCCAATATCATTGTGACACCTTCAGACACACTTTGAGGAAAACTTATTTTTTTTTTTTTTAATTTGGAGTGTAGTTGTTTTATAACGCTGTGTCAGGTTCTGCCCTACAGCAAAGTGATCAGCCAGGCATATACGTATATTCCCCTCTATTTTGGATTTCCATCTCATTTAAGTCACCACAGGGCACCGAGCATAGTTCCCTGTTCTATACAGTACGTTCTCATTAGTTATCTGTTTTATATGTATTATCAATATATGTCAGTCCCAATCTCCCAGTTCATCCCACACACCCCCTTTTCCCTTTGGTAGCCCAAATGTTTGTTCTCTATGTCTGTGTCCCTGTTTCTGCTTTCAGATCAGATCATCTATACCGTTTTTCGAGATTCCACATATATGCATTAATACATGATATTTGTTCTTCTCTTTCTGACTGACTTCACTCTATATGAGAGTCTGTAGGTCCAACCATGTCTCTGCAAATGACACGATTTCATTCCTTTTTATGGCTGAGGAGTGCTCTGTTGCATATCTGTACCACATCTTCTTTATCCATTCCTCTGCTGATGGACACTTAGGTTGCTTCCCTGTCCTGACTGTTGTGAATAGTGCTGCAGTGAACACTGGGATGCGTGTATCTTTTTGAATTACGGTTTTCTCTGGGTAGATGCCCAGGAGTGGGATCACTGGGTCATATGGTAGGTCTAGTTTTCGTTTTTTAAGGACCCTCCATACTGTTCTCCATGGTGGCTGTAGGAAAACTTATTTTAACAGCCACAGAGAGGAGGTCAATTTAAGTTTGTTATGCTGAAAGACCTGGGACCCTGGGGGGCAGAGATCGAGAGTCAGGGATTCGCTCCATGACCTCCAGCGTGTCCCTAGGCCTCCCTGGTCTCAGGGTCCTTATCCTCAAGCTGAGGGGATTGGGTTAGGTTTCCGCTGGGGTTCCTGCCTTGAGTTTCAGTGATTTCACCCCCTTTCCGACTGCATGTCCATGCCAGCAGCCAGGCCAAGCTCCTTAGACCCTCCACCCCTCCCGGGAGGTGCTGCCCCCCACTCAGCTCCTCCTTTTCCTCCGCTGTGACCTTGACCGTGCTCACCCCCATGCCCACCTCTCTGTGAACAGTGGTGCCTCGAACAAGCCTGGGGAAGAGGGAGAAAGGGAGGAGGGAAGGGGAGGTCTTATCTCAGAAGGTCTGGGATGGTATGGGCGGGAACTCAGGTGTTCTGACTCCTGGCCCTGGGTTTGGGCTGCTGGGTCACACTGCTCCTGATGGCTAATGAGGGAGAAGGGGGGGGCTGACCTGTGTGATGGGGAGGAGGTCCCCCTTTGCAGAGGTGCTTGGTGGCTGAGGGAGAGGGGATGCTGGGGCCTCCAGAGGGCTTTGGGAGGTAAATGGTGCCCACCTGGTTTTTATGATCCAAAACTGCCTTAAGCTTATTAGTATGTGCTGCTGTTGTTTAGTCATGTTTCACTCTTTGCAACCCCATGGACATGTAACTCTCCAGGGTCCTCTGTCCATGGGATTTCCCAGGCAAGAATACTGGAGTGGGTTGCCATCTCCTTCTCCAGGGGATCTTCCTGACTCAGGGATCGAACCCGGGTCTCCTGCAGTGCAGGTGGATTCTTTACCGACTGTTAGCAGGGAAGCCCTAACACCTGAGAATCTGCCAGGGTTAGACTCTTCCTCTAAAAGAGCCTGAGCTGGGAGGAAGTAGGAGAATGGTGACCTGCATTTTATTTTGCATGCTTCTTTTAATTTCATATTTTAATTATGGTTAAAAAGACATAAAATTAATCATCTTAACCATTTTGAAGGATACAGTTGAGTCATGTCCAAGTATATTCATAAGTGGATATATGCATAACTGAATCACTTTGCTGTACACCTGAAACTAACACAACATCGTAAACCAACTGTACTGCCATAAAACATTTTTAAAAATAAAAGGTAAACTTAAAACCAGGGGAAAAATGTATATTCATATTGTTGTGCAGCAGCAGACCTCTGGAACTTTTTCATCTTGCAAAATGGAAACTCTGTACAGAGCAACTCCCCGCCTCTTCCCCGCTCCAGCTCTGGGTGACCACCATTCTACTGTCTGTCTCTATGACTTCAGTTGCTCTCACGTGTCGTAAAAGTGGAATCACAGCGTATTTGTCTTTAGTGACTGGCTTGCGTCACTAGGATACTGTGTCAAGGTTCATCTCTACTGTATAATATACAAACACCATGTTCTGCTTATCCATTCATCCATCCATGGACACTTGGGTTGCTTCTATCTCTTGGCTCTTGTGATTGATGCTGCTATGAACATGGGTGTACACACAGGTCTTCGAGATACCGCTTTCAGTTCTTTTGGATGTATATGCAGAAGTGGAATTGCTGGATCATAGGTAGTCTGAATTTTTTAGGGACATCTGTACTGTTTTCCCTAGCTGTTGTACCACTTTACATTCCCACCAACAGTGCATGATATTTTGCATTCTTTTGCCCCTTTGTGGTTTAACGTAGAACAACCCTGGTACTTGGTCCTCACTTTTGACTTCTCAGTGCCATCTTGGGTCTTAGAGCCACAATCAGGGCCCGGTCATTGAGCTCTCACAGGGTGGGAAGCTGAGGTTGATGGACTGAAGATGACCTGCTCTTGACCCCCCCAGACCTTCTGCCTCACTCTGTTCTGCCTCTGGGGTCCCTGGCCTTTTTCTTCGAGTTCCTGAGCTGCGATGGTCAAGAAAGGAGGAGCACCTGGTTCGGGGGTGGCGCTCCCTGGGTGCCCCGCTCCACATCCACACATTTGTCCACTGATGCCCTGGTGGTTTCTGCCCAAACAGGTCCAACGGGCGCTCCTCCAAGCGGAGCCTTGGAGGGCAAGGCCGGCACCATTACCTCCAACGAGTGGGGCTCTCCCAACTCCCCCGAGGGGAGCAACGTCTCTGGGGGCAGCCAGGCCTTGGACAAGCCCATCGACAATGATGCGGAGGGTGTGTGGAGCCCTGACATTGAGCAGAGCTTCCAGGAGGCCCTGGCCATCTACCCGCCCTGCGGTCGGCGCAAGATCATCCTGTCGGACGAAGGCAAGATGTACGGTAAGGAGGCTGTTGGGTCTGGGCCGCCGTACTGTTCAGGGTCCAGTCCCAGAAGTAGTTTCAGCACAGCAACCAGGTTCCCGCCAAGTGATGGAAGGGTGTGACTTCCTGGAACTCCTCCCAGGTGGATGCTGCTTTATTCTGCCCTGGACTCCTAAGGGATGGGGGGACCTTGGAGGAGATGCCCTTGGATGGATGTGGAGGGTGGGAAGAAGGTGGTAGAGGAAGACCTGGAAAAGTGGCAGAACATCCCCCCAGGGCAGGCTGGGAAAATCCTTCCAGCCGTCCCCCAGGCAAATGCCTGATCTTCTCCCAGCTTCCCACCTTGACTGTGAAGGGTGTTAGGAAGATGTCCTTGCTCATCCTTTCCCTCCCTCCCTCCCTCCCTCCCCCAGGCAGCAGTCTGTTGTATACCAGGTGGGGTGGGGCAGATCTGTATCCTGGTCAGTGGGGGGCGGAGGGGGGAGCGTACATGTCACTGTACATGGGGAGGAAGGAGTGTCCCCGAGAGGACAGTGATCAGAGAAGGCTAGGTCTTCCTGAGCCGTTAAGGTTGGGAACATGTTCAGTGTCCAGCAACCGCTGGACTGAGCCATTCGCCTGGGGCTATGTTGACTTCTGTGACTGTGTTTTGTTTTTCAAACTTTTCTTCGTGTTAGATTGGTGTATAGCTGATTAACACTTGTGATGGTTTCAGTGCACAGCATAGTGACTCAGCCTTACATATACATGTCGCCATTCTCCCCAAACTCCACTCCCATCCAGGCTCCATGTTGACTTTTGTGTGGAAGATATGGTATCTGGGGAAGCAAGTTCAGTCAGTTCAGTTGCTCAGTTGTGTCCAACTCTTTGCGACCCCATGGACTGCAGCATGCCAGGCCTCCCTGTCCGTCACCAACTCCTGGAGCTTACTCAAACTCATGTCCATCGAGTCAGTGATGCCATCCAACCATCTTATCTTTCTGTCACCCCCTTCTCCTCTCGCCTTCAATCTTTGCCAGCATCAGTGTCTTTTCAAATGAGTCAGTTCTTCGCATCAGGTGGCCAAAGTATTGGAGTTTCAGCTTCAGCATCAGTCCTTCCAATGATTATTCAGGACTGATTTCCTTTAGGTTGGCTCTCCTTACAGTCCAAGGGACTCTCAAGAGTCTTTTCCAACACCACAGTTCAAAAGCATCAATTCTTCGGTGCTCAGCTTTCTTTATGGTCCAACTCTCACATCCATGCATGCCTACTGGAAAAACCATAGCCTTGAAGGAAGGCTTTGAGGAAGTAAAGTGAACAGTAACAGCTGTTGGGAGGCTCGGCTCGCCATTAGAAAGTCCCCCAGGACACCCAGTTTGAGACATGGGTCTTGGGCAGGCGAGGGGAGTCTCTGACTGACAGAAGCCTTCCAGCTCCCATGCTGTGATTCCCAGGAAAGGAGGTGCTTCAGGGGGCTGCTCCCTGGGTCGCCCCCTGCTCTCAAAGAGATGGCTCCAAGCCAGATGCTTCTCCCCCAGCACAGATGCTTTGTCAGTTGTGAGGAGCCCTTGGGGGCTGACCCAACTCATCTCCTAGGTCTGCTGTAAGAAATTGCCACAAATTTAAGGGATGCCTTAGACAAAGAAATGTATCCTCTGCAGAGTCAGGAGGCCAAAAGTCTGAACTCAAGGGGTTGGATGTGTTCCATGCCTCCCTCCTGGCTTCTGGTGGCAGCTAGCAGCCCGGTGCCCTTGGCTTGTGGCCACATCACTACCGTCTCTGACCCTGTTGTCACATGGCTGTCCTCTCTGAGTCTCTTTGTGTTCTCCTCTTGTGAGGACACCAGTCTTTCGGGGCCCACCTTAATCCAATATGTGCCCAGTCATGTCTGACTCTATATGACCCCACGGACTGTAGCCCACCAGACTCCTCTGTCCGGGATTTCCCAGGCAAGAACACTGGAGTGGGTTGCCATCTCCTCCTCCAGGGGATCTTCCTGACCCAGGGATCAAACCTGCATCTTCTGTGTCTCCTACATTGGCAAGTGGATTCTTTACCACTGAGCCCCCAGGGAAACCCTATATTCAATATGCCCTCATCTTAACTAATTATGTCTGTCAAGACCCTGCTTCTTGATGAGGTCAGGTGCTGAGGTTCTGGGTGGACATGAATGCTGGGGAGAGACTGTTCAACTCAATTCAACTGACCAAGCCCAAAGCCTCTTACTGGCCTGGGGTGCCGCGGACGCACACAGCCCCGCCTCCTTTATCCTTCTCCTTCACCTCCCCTGGGAGGGCAAAGGACTCCTCCCCTGCTTGTTGGGGCAGCAAGGTCCTTTCTGGACCCCGAGTCTGTTCCTCGGTCAGCAGTTAAAGCTGCTCATCCCTCCTTCCCGGCCCCTCCGCTGGGGCTCTACTCAGGCCCTGGGTCAGCCCCCAGGCTGCCCTGCCTGACCCCTGCTCTAGTGGCTGCTTCTTACTTCTGGTCCGTGCGGAAGCTTCAAGGAGGAGGCAGCACTGTGCATGGAGCATCCGTGGATCTGGGTGGGGCTGCTTCTTGGAGGCTTTGCCCATGGAGCTGGGGAGGAAGGGTCTCTGGTATCCGGGGTGCTTCCCACTGCTCAGGTGGAGAGTGGGGTGCCTGCTGGTCATGAGCTGAGGGGTGAGGGTGAGAAGAGGGCAGGGCATGCAGGGAGGGACAGGTGGGTGGCTGGAGAGCTGGCAGGTCCCTGGTGGGACTGTGATGGCTTACTGGGCACCTGGTAAGATTCATCTTCCTGCTTTCAAGGGACAGAGGGCCTGGCAAACACAGGTGGGCAGAGGCGCTCAGCGTGGGGAGGAAGCTGAGGTCCCTGCTGTGTGGGGAAAACCCCAAGGGGTTGTAAACCGTGGAGAGCCAGCGGACAGTGTTTGAGGGCCGCTGTGGACCAGCTATGCCTTTGTGTGGGGTGGTAAAGGAAACAGAACATCAACTTGGCCGTTTTAACCATTTTTCAGTGCACAGATCAGTGGCATTAAGTACGTTCACACGGTTGTGTGATCATCCCCACCATCCGTCTCTAGAATTTTCTCATCCTCCCAAACTGAAACTCTGCCCTCCTTAAACACTACCTGCCTGCCCCCGCCCCCCAACTCCAGCCCCTGGTACCCGCCATCCACTTTCTGTCTCGATGGCTATGACTCCTCTAGGGACCTCACCTAAGTGGGATCACACAGTGCTTGTCTTCCTCTGTCCGGCTTGTTGCAGTGACCATCGTGTCCTTGAGGTTCCTCCGTGTTGTACGTAGCGGGTGTCAGAACCACCTTCCTTTTGAAGACTGAGCCACGTTCCGTCATATGGATGGACCCTGTGGTGCATAGCTGTTGACTCAGTTGATGGATGTTTGGGTGAACGCTTCAGTTTTCTCAGTTGTTCAGTTCAGTTCAGTCACTCAGTCGAGTCCGACTCTTTGTGACCCTATGAACCGCAGCACACAAGGCCTCCCTGTCCATCACCGACTCCCGGAGTCCACCCAATCCCATGCCCATTGAATCGGTGATGCCATCCAACCATCTCATCCTCTGTCGTCCCCTTCTCCTCCTGCCCTCAATCTTTCCCAGCATCAGAGTCTTTTCAAATAAGTCAGTTCTTCACATTAGGTGGCCAAAATATTGGAGTTTCTGCTTTAGCATCAGTCCTTCATTGGAAGGGCCAGATGGACTGGTTGGATCTCCTTGCAGGATGGACTGGTTGGATCTCCTTGCAGTCCAAGGGACTGTCAAGAGTCTTCTCCAACACCACAGTTCAAAAGCATCAGTTCTTCAGTGCTCAGCTTTGTTTATGGTCCAACTCTCACATCCATACGTGACTACTGGAAAAACCATAGCCTTGACCAGACGGACAGTCGTTATGGGTGGCTATTTCTATCTGTATTCATGTAAAGAGATACCGGGGTTGGGAGACTTGAGCTTCATCTCCTGGCGATAGGACTGAGGCCGGGTTTGGGAAAGGCAGGTGCACTTTCAGCAGGCCCGGGGGTGGAAGTCTCCTTGGCAGGAGGGGAGCCGACGGGCGGGGGAGGCGAGATGAAGACAGCATCTGGCCCATGCTGCTGGCCTTGCTGGTGTCCTTTGTGGTCTTCCTTCCCGTGTGCCCAGAGACAGAGGGGGGCTGAGGGCGGGGGGATCACCCAGGAGGTGGAAGAGAGGAGAGGGGCCGAGGAGGGCAGAGCTTCACAGTGACTGTCTTTGCGGGGGAGGGGTGAGTAGGGAGGGGTTACAGCCTCTGTGGATGCAGAGAGAGAAGCTCAGAGAGGCTGAGTCCCAGAGTCACTCAGGTAGTAAGTGGGGGCTGGGGTGGGGGGTTGCTCAGCACTCCCTATCACCCCAAGTGGCCCTGGTGAGCTCTTTGAAGCCAGTTCAGCTCCCGCTTGGCCCCGGCTCAGGTGGATCAGGCTCTGGGCAGGGGGACCAGACGGGGGGAGCCTCCCCCCCGCTCCCCGCAGAGTCTGGTGACCGACCCAGCCCCCACAGCACCTGTCCTCCTCGGGTACACATCCTGCCCGGGGCCCAGACGCTGGCTTCTCCCAACTCCCGTCTCCTCTTACAGGCGCGGAGGCTGAGCCAAGGCGGGGCCTCACCAGCGAGTGGACAGGGCTCTCTGCCCAAGTGAGTGCCCAGCTGGGGGGTATATATAACTCTGAGCTCAGGCCTGGGCGTGGGATGGGCCCCAGGGCCAGGGGGAGGGGGAGAGGGACCGGCCGCCAAGCTGACTCAGACCTCGGGCTGCTCACCACCCTCTTTGGCTCCTGGACCCACACTTGCCACCCTCTGCCCAACCCCCCCCCCCCGCCCAACCTGAGCCCTGGGCACTCTGGAGGGCTCTTCCCTTCCCCGCCTAACCCCCGACCCTGCCTGCAGAGGTCTCAACCTGGCTTCCAGGTGGGCAGCTGGCTTCTCAGGCAGGAAGAGCAAACTGCCCAGAGGAGTATCCGAGACCGGGAATCTCTGAGGATGGGGGTTCAGGCCTGTCCCCAGCCCAGCCCACGCACACCCAGA